GTGACACTGCCGGGCACTGGCTGACACTGCCGGGCACTAGGTGGCACTGGATGGGACTGCCGGGCACTGGGTGACACTGCCGGGCACTGGCTGACACTGCCGGGCACTAGGTGGCACTGGATGGGACTGCCGGGCACTGGGTGACACTGCCGGGCACTGGCTGACACTGCCGGGCACTAGGTGGCACTGGATGGGACTGCCGGGCACTGGGTGACACTGCCGGGCACTGGCTGACACTGCCGGGCACTAGGTGGCACTGGATGGGACTGCCGGGCACTGGGTGACACTGCCGGGCACTGGCTGACACTGCCGGGCACTAGGTGGCACTGGATGGGACTGCCGGGCACTGGGTGACACTGCCGGGCACTGGCTGACACTGCCGGGCACTAGGTGGCACTGGATGGGACTGCCGGGCACTGGGTGACACTGCCGGGCACTGGCTGACACTGCCGGGCACTAGGTGGCACTGGATGGGACTGCCGGGCACTGGGTGACACTGCCGGGCACTGGCTGACACTGCCGGGCACTAGGTGGCACTGGATGGGACTGCCGGGCACTGGGTGACACTGCCGGGCACTGGCTGACACTGCCGGGCACTAGGTGGCACTGGATGGGACTGCCGGGCACTGGGTGACACTGCCGGGCACTGGCACAGCCATTTGTGGCCAAATCTGCTTTCTGGGAGCCTGTGACATGCTGCAAACCCCACGGCCCTGGCAGGGACATCCCTGGGGCACCCAAGGGCTGCAGGGACCCTCCTGTGGGAAGGCCCTTTCCCAAATCCTCCTTCCTCCCCCATCCCCATCCACCCCCGCTCTTGTTGCCTGCACTGGGATTTAGTGTCAGATGTTGGGAGCAGGTCGGGGAAGGGGTGGGGAGAGGGTTGGGAAGGGGGTGGGAGAGGGTTGGGGTGGGAAGGTGGAGCCAGCAAAGTGCCTTCCTGGGGGGGTTCAAGAGTTGCACTTGTTTTCATGCTGGGGGGAATTGGAGCTGACTCTGAGCCTGGCAGCAGAGGAGCCCCCATCTCACCCCCTGAGGAAGGCAGGGGGGTGGGTGGGAGCCCCAAGGCCACTGCCTGTCCCCAGTAAGGGTGACAGAGCTGTCCCCTTGCCCTGGCAGCACCCACAGGACCCCCCAGGCTGAGCCATGTCCAGCACCCTGCTCTGACACCCAGTTAATCCATTGATATGGGTTACTGGGAGGTGCAGCCTTGGAGGGCAGCACTGGGGGTTAGAAGGGCTTTTAAAATAGGTTGTGAGGCAGGGGGGGGGGTTTCTTAATTTTATGATGTGTTTTTTTTTTTAAAGAGCTTATATAACCTTTGGGATTCTATTAATAAAAATAATGGGTTTGAACTCTGGGAACAACCAGCCCCGACCATGAGCAATGAAATGCTCCAGCTCCAGGGAACTGTTGGGCAGTGGGGAGAGAGGGTTGAGGGGCTTGGGTGCTGAACCAGGGGGGGCTGAGGGGATTCCCTGCCTGCAGGCAGGTTCCTGGCCTCTGCCTGTCCCTCCTACCCTGCATCTCCATCCCTGTGCCCAGAGAAAGGGAAAGGAAGAGGTGGGGGGGGGAAATGGTCTTTTTTCAACCCCAGCCTGGGTGTGGACCCCACGGGCGTGGGGTTGGGTGGGCACCCACTGGTCCTGCTGCACCCATTTGTAAGCCCCCCCAGCTCTGACTGTTGAACCCAAGGTTGTATCCAGTGGGAAAACATGGAACAGCATCCCAGCGTGGCCCAGGTGAACATCACCTGGACCCAGCACAGCCCCCTGGGTGGGATGGGGGGTGATGCAGCTCAGGGGTCTTGGGGGAGATAACAGCAGAATTGGGTTTAAAGCAGCAGGGATGAGACTCAGGGCCAAAAAGAGGAGCTGTGTGGTGGGTGGGTGGGTGTTCAGGGTGATTCTGGGGGGCAGGAACCCTAGAGGGTGTCTCATTTTCAGGCCCCACAGGTGGTTTTCAAGAGCCTTTGCTCAGCTCTTGCATTTCAGGTGTTTTACCTTTTTTTAATCCCCAGGTAGCCAGCAAAGCATTTAGAGGGTTGAATATCAATTGAAGAGAAGCTGAATAAAAGATGGTGATTAGAAAAAACGGGGGTGGGACCTAAATCAGGGCAAAAAAACTTGGAGGCAAAAAAACCCCACAGTCTCTGGGACCTGGTTGAGGGGCCGGGTTGTTTCCCTTTCACACCAAAACATTTCAAAACCCTCATTTTTTTTTTGTTTTAATGAGTTTTCTGGTGTTTCCCCCTTTGCAGGGTGATCCCCTTGTTCCCCAGGAAGCTCCACCACCCCAACCCCCTTCAGCCACGGGCTGTGGGTTTGGTTTGGTTGGGACTTTCTTTTCTATTCTTTCTTTTTCTTTTTCTTCTCCTTTAAATCTCCCTTGTTCAAATTGTCACAGCTTGACAGCCTTGTGCCAGGAACACTCTGTCATCCTGAAGCTCATATCTTTTAATTCCTTCCCTCTGATGCTAATAACACCTTAAGATGATTAAGACCAGGGAGGGGAGAAGGAAAAAAAACCCCCACCTTAATATCTTATTTTTCTGCTGTTGGCGACGCTGGTTGTTGACTCTTGGTGCTTCATTCATCTTGGGGAGTGAAATTAGAGTGGTCAGTGGGTTTTCCTTGGTTTCTGTCTCTGGCTTTTGATTGCTGGATCTCCATGATGATTCCTCTGATGCCTCCAGGCTGCTGTGCCACCCAGCTGCTGGTGCGTGGCAGTTGAGGACGTGGCATCGTGAGGAGTCCCCTCCTGAGCATCCCTGGCCTGGGGCCACCCTGCAATGGAGCCTGGTTTGTACTGGTGGCACGTCCCCCATTGGGGAACATCCCAAGCAGCATCCCCAGCTCTTTTTTGGGAACATCCTGGGCATCATTCCCAGCCCTGACAGTGCCAGGACACACTGTCCTGCCCAGGCTGTGCAGTCCCAGCCCCACGTTACCCACGGTGCTCCCAGGACACAGGTTTCTGTCAGCAGGAGGTTCTTTATTTATTTGTAAAGCTGTTTTGGGCCTGGGACAAGCTCAGAGTGGGGTTCAGCTTCCTTCTGCCATGGGGCATCACTTGTGGGGCCAGCCTGGCTGATGCTTCCCTGCCAGGCTGGTCACTGGTGGGTGTTGGCAGCAGCTCCGGCACCTCCTCGCTCTTCTGGGAAACAAGGTACTGGGTAAATGAAATCCTGTGCCCTCTGGAACAGCCTGTAAATCCCTGGATGTGGAGCTGGGTCTGGGTGGGTGTGAGGACAGGACCCTGTGGGTGCACTGAGCGGGGCAGTTTCCTGCCCCCCTGAAGGAGGAGGCAGCAGCAGATTGGGAAAACGCCTCTTTCAGCTAAAATCCTGCCCGGGTGCAGGTTGATGCCTCTGACCAGCAGCTCGAGGGCAATGGGATGTTTGGTTTAGGGTTTCAGGTGGTGTTTTAGTGAGCAGAGCAGCCTGGGAAGCACCGTGGCTTCCAGGCCCCACCTGGGGCTTTCCCAGACCTTGGTTTGGGTTTTCACCCACAGCTGTGCCTCAGTTTCCCCAGCAGACAGGCAGGTGGTCACTTCCCCCTGCTGGTGCCACCTTCTGAAGGGCTGGTAGGACTGGGTGACCAGGAACAGGTCATTTTGTGCCCACCTCAGTGTCTCTGTGCCAGTGCAGCCGTGGCACAGAGGGGTCCCAGCTGTGCTTGCTGCCCCACACAGCTCTGGGAGCTTGGGATGGGGGTTTGGGATGGATGGGGGTTTGGGATGGATGGGGTTTGGGATGGATGGGGTTTGAGATGGATGAGGTTTGGGATGGGGGTTTGGGATGGATGGGGTTTGGGATGGATGGGGGTTTGGGATGGATGGGGTTTGGGATGGATGGGGTTTGGGATGGGGGGTTGGGATGGATGGGGGTTTGGGATGGATGGGGTTTGGGATGGGGGTTTGGGATGGATGGGGGTTTGGAGGCTTTGGCACATGGTCAGAGGCAGCCCCTTAGCCCTCCCCCTGCTCTGGAGCAGGGAAGAGGGAAATAACTTGAGGGGGAGAAGGTGGGGGAGGGAGGAGAGTGAAGCTGCTGGTCCCTGATGTGGTGCAGCCTGTGGGCTCATATTCCCCCTGCTCCTGGCATCTCCCTGCTCCCAGTATCCCTGTGGCCCCCATGTTTCTGGCATCCCCATGCTCCCAGTGTCCATGTGCTCCACGTGCTCTTGGCATCTCCTTGTCCCTGTGGTCACTGTATTCCTGGCATTCCCACACTCCCAGCATTCCCATGCTCCTGCTATCTCTGTGGTCCCGATGTTCCCAGCTTCCCCATGCTCCCAGCATCCCCATTCTCCCAAAGTCCGTGTGCTCTCTTGCTCCCAGCTCCTGGTACCCCCATGCTCCCAGCATCCCCATTCTCCCAGTGTCCACATGGTCTCCATGCTCCCACTATGCCCATGCTCCCAAGGTCCCTGTGCCCTTCATGCTCCCACCAGCCCCATATTCCTGGTATCCCCAGTCTCTCAGTGTCCACAAGCTGTCCATGCTCCCAGCATCCCCATATTCCTGGTACCCCCATGCTCCCAGCACTCCCATGTTCCTGGTCCCCCCATGCTCCCAGCATCCCCATATTCCTGGTACCCCCATGCTCCCAGCACACCCATGTTCCTGGTACCCCCATGCTCCCAGCACTCCCATGTTCCTGGTACCCCCATGCTCCCAGCATCCCCATTCTCCCAGTGTCCACATGGTCTCCATGCTCCCACTATGCCCATGCTCCCAAGGTCCCTGTGCTCTCCATGCTCCCAGCATCCCCATGTTCCTGGCACCCCCCTGCTCCCAGTGCCCACATGCTCTCCACGCTCCCACCACCCCCAGAATTCCCAGCATCCCGGGCAGACCCATCGAGCGATTCCTCTTCACCTCTTTCTCCTCCCCCCTTGCAGGAGCAGCCGGACCAGAGGCGATCACTGCGGGGAGCAGCG